GGTGAGGAAGAGGAGGGGCGGCCAGCCACAGGGCTTGTGGCTCCCCAGAGATGCTCCCCTGGGAACATTTCACTCGTGGCATCAGAATTACGAAAATGTCTCCAGAGACCAGCTCTTCACACTGAGTACCATCAACGCCTGGCTGAAAACACCTTCAGACGTGAAAGTTCTCTGAGACCCTCGGACTGTGGAAATCAGACCAGTTTCTCCAGATGTGATTCCCGGACCCGTGACATCGGCGTAGCGTGTGGGGGATTTGCTGGAGATGCAGATTACCCGACTCCAGCCCCGTACCAGGAACACTGAGGGTGGGATCTAGCAATCGTATTTTAACAAGCCCTTGAGGTAATTCTGATGCTGGCAAAAGTGTGAAGAACCACTACTCTATCCTATTCACACCTCTGAATTCTTAAAACAGGACGGACTTGGGAATGGACCCCACTGTGTGGCTTCTGCGTTGCAACCCATGTAATGTGCCCACCTTTCCCTTACTTCTAAAACACGACAAAGGTGTTATTAGAGAGTTATTTCATAAAATCAAAAATTCCTTAAAAGATAATATTGTATTTTTTCCCTCCTATACATAGTTCTAAGGCAGGCAATCACATGCTAGTATGCAAAATAAAATACAGAAGAGACCTCACATAAGAGGTAGAAAGAGCTGAAAAGACTCCCCAAGAACATAATGAAAATTTCATAATATTGTTTAATGAACTCATAGAATTATATAAAACTTACTATACTTTATGCTTAATATTTGTATCAAAATAAAATCTCTCTGTTGAATAAACTGATCTAATACTGATTACTGATCTAATACTCTGATCACTGAAACTATATGAATGTCTCTGGGTTTTCTTCACACTCCACTTTTAGAACATTCCAAGTCTAGACTTCTAAGTCTAGATTCTTCGAACCTCCCTTCAAAAAAATTTCAGAAATTCTGATGACTTAAAGTTCACTCGAAAGCAGATATTGTCAATCAGTGCAAAAACTTTAAATGTTACATTGATATTGTTTTAAAATTTGTGTAACCTCATATTTTAGTTTAAAGTAATCACATAATGCCATTTTCTGAATGTCTTTAGTAAGACTCACTCCTTGTAACAATGGACTTGAAATTGCTAACTAGACAGGAATAACAGTAGGAAGTGTGAATTTAGCAGCTTTACAGGAAAGTCTCAGCAAATAAATGTCCACCCTCAAGTAGACAGGAAATGCAAGGCGCCTAAAGACTAATAGGCTGCTCACACCTTCAAGATGATCCTTACAATAGGTGATGGATACCACTGATGCTCTGAACAAGAAATGAGTTAGAACGTTACTCATTCTTTTTAACTGCCAGAAAGTTTGAAAGTCAATCAGATAGCAAAGAGGGGAGAGGCACATCAGATCCAGTAAGACATTTGCCTGAAGATTCATGAATACAAACGCATTGTGGTAGGAATCAAGGATCTTCATATACTAAGGGGATGGTTAGCAAGAAATGATGTCTGATATATCATAAAGGACAAACTATTGCCTTTGAGGAGCTGGAAGGAGAAAAAAGATGGCTAGCCTAAGTAACATTTTAAAGCAGCAATTTGTATTTTTCAATATATTTAAAGTTTTAACCTTGTATTTTTATAGACTCTTTCTGGGATTCCCTTTTTAAACAACTCCATCATAAAACAGTGCTGTAACAGGTGTCTCTTTTAAAATGATTTTTCAGTAAATCTAATTTTCTTAATAACAACAGCACAAACATTAAAATTTATCTTGAAACTGTTTTTCGCACCCTGACTCTTAGCCAAGGTGGCTAGAGATACATTCGTTTATGTTTGTAGGTTTGCTCTGGAGATGAAAAACATGGAACACATAAAATTCACGACACCAGAGCGACATTCTACTATACACGCATCATCTCAAACTTAGAAAATTCAGATAGCTTTCTCAGCAACTTCAAAGCCTCCACAAACAAGGAAACTATTCTCATAAATAAGTCTTGGAGACTGTTATGCTTATTTAGGTAATGCTTTTTTCAGTGGGAATTCTGCTGATTTCACCTATCCTGCAATTCTGTGAACTAAAAAGACCAGGTTTACACCCAACTTGAATTTATATTAGAATCTCTGATGAAAACACACACACACACGCACGGCAGTTTGTTATTTCATGTATTAAAAATGACCTGGATAGAAAGTATATTTATGGGAGGAAAGGAAAATTAAAGTTATGTTAAATGGTCAATAATTCACTACTGATTAATCAAAAACAAAGCTTGATCTAACAATTTGGCAATGCATATGCCAAAATGACAACCGAAATCGCTTTTAAAAACACACGAGAAGATGGGCAACCCCCTTCAGGTCCCCTCTCACTGTGGGAGCTTTTCTGTCCTCTGAATAAATCCTGCTTTAAAACACACACACACACACCAGAAGATATCCATGTTACACAGAATAAGGTTCTTCAAATCTTAACAAAAATTCACTTTTAGATCAGGAAAAAAAATTCTCTACAAACTCAAGAGAACATCTTTAAGGTAAAAAGAAAAAAAAGAAGACAATCTCAATTAACAGCGAAATTAATAAAAAATAGTTCTGGCAAGAAAATGGAAACTTCGCAGCGATACAAAGAACAAAGAAGTAAAAAAAGACATTGTGTGAACAATTAACCTCACTTAGAAGAAATCTGTTCTGAAGAAAGGGAAGTTGGTAATACCTGGTATTATCTGAGAGCTATCATCTAGACTTCTAAAAAAGAACTGTATATACAGAGGGTGCTAAAAATATGTATACACATTTTAAGAAAAAAACTATTAAAATTGTAATACTCAACAAGAGGAATAGAAGTTATGTTTGACTTCTGCAATTACAAGAGGCGCTCAAAGTGGTTACCATCCAGACACTTCTGATTACAGAGAACATCTCAACATCTCTTAAAATGTGTATATATAGCCAGGTGCGGTGGCTCACACCTATAATCCCAGCAATTTGGGAGGCAGAGGTGAGAGGATTACCTGAGTCCAGAGGTCTGAGACCAGCCTGGGCAACTTGGTGAGACCTCGTCGCTACAATAAATCAAAAAATTATCTGAGCATGGTGGTGTGCGCCTGTAGTTCCAGTTTCTTGGAAGGCTGAGGCGGAAGGATAGCCTGAGTCCATCCAGCAGGTCAAGGCTGTGGTGGCTGTGAGTATGCTGCTACACTCCAGCCTGGATGACAGTGAGACTCCAACTCAAAAAAAAAAGAAAAAAAAAAAAAATTATATATATATATATATATATATGTGTGTATACATTTTTTTGACCCTGTGTATGCGTGTGTGTTCCATCTGTGCTCTAAGGTTGAACCTAATGTGTGTTACATTTTACTAATCTGATTGATGGGTACTTGCCAATACTACTCAAGTAATACCCGAAGAACATCAACTGTATTCAGAAGTCATGCCTCATTTCAATGGAAATTTGCAATGAATCCTGCAAGAAGACATTTTCAAACTATACAAGATACTATGTGTAAATAACAGATTCTTTAAAGCACAATTGGAAAGATGGCAATAAGCAAAGCTGGAAAAGAGTAAGCTTGTTAGAGGTTAATATAAGCATTCAATCCAGAATCTTAAAACAGTATCAGAAACAATCAGGAAATGAGGAACACTCAGATACAGCAGAGCAGTGGACAAATAAGTAGCTATTATTTTTAGTGTTTTAGAAATAACTGTTTAGAAACAGGATGTCATGACAACATAACAGCTTCCTTATCCAAAGCTTCCATCATTAATACATTTATATAAGGTGGCGGGGTGTGCACATGACCCCATGGCCCTAACTAAATATAAATAAAGACTGGTTTTTTAAAAAGATTCAAGTATGAATACAGAAAGTTGGGCAAAAGCTCATGACAGAGGATTACCGAAAGCCCTGACATCACAATTCTGTTTTCATATTATCAAAATGTTTTTGAATATTTATCTAGTTTATGTAATACAGGACTTTAAAGGCTGGGAGGTGGTCAACAGACATCCTCACTTAGGCAAGACCTAATTTTCATTTGGGTTATGTCTTAGGTGTTTTCTAAGTTGGAAATACATAGCTATATGGCAAAACTTTTTGTTCTTTTCTTCCAAATAAAGTATGTTGAGCAAAATTTGACATTGCTAAATGTGGTGATCTGACATCATACAAAGAAAGCATAGAGCTATAACTTGCTGGCTTGGTTTTCCAATTGTGATTTGCACTAACCATCAACATGTCTGCAGTTGACAGGTCTATACCTTCACCTTCCACCTTCACAGAGACCCACAGCCTGTAATGTGAAGCCACACACAAACTGCACTCTGAGCAGAAAGGCAGAACTGAATAAAAGGAACACACTTCACTTGTTCTGCAACTTGCTAACCACTCATCAAAGGCACTCTTTTATCCCATACTGTCTCTAAGATTACAGGGGTTGCAGCTGTCCAAATTAAACTAAACTCTAATCATATAAAAAATGTCAGGAATTTTTCTTTATCCTTACCACGTTCAACCTGGCTTTTAATAAGTTCTTTGACTGTAGGATGGCCTATCAAAGAAATCTTCCAGAAAACTTTTTTGAAATAGATTATCAGGAAGATTGGGTTCATTTGAAATGTTCCTCAGCCTTACCTTATTTTTTTAAAGTTTATATTGTAGTTTCAAGATATTTCTGAAATATAAAAGTAGTATTACTAGGTCAGGAAAAAGATAAGGACATGCATTGCTTTAAATGTGTGACAAGACCACAAGTTTTAAGAGAGTAAACATTTTCCTTTGGATTTTACCAAAGTTCATTCTAAGCAATTTTCAGAGTGTAGACTATTTAAGACTGCTACTTAAATTTTATATTTTTATACAAGTTTAATAGGGGAATTTTAGAATAAAGATATGAAAAACAAGGGTAGTTTTCTGTCTCAGATTTTGATGAATTTTGATACATCTTGACAAAAGTTATATTTCTTCTTTAATGATGTTCCTCAAACAAAACAGCTAGTAAAATATTTGAATTGCCATGTATAATGTCACATTTTAATGTAAACATCAAATAAGGTACCAAAATTTTTACTGGAGGGGAAAAAAAAAAACAAATCTCAAAGCGGCACAATTCTTTATACCACTGGAGAAGGGGAAAGCCAGGTTACAAACATTTATACATGCATAGTGAGAAAAAAAGGATTTTACTAAATTCACGCATTTTTAAAATAGTTATTAAGTCTACTAAGCACCAACAATCCTAAAAATTTTTCAGCTTCATGATTTGTTTAAAAAAAACACACTATATCAAATTAACATTAAAAACAAGCTTGAAGAGTAGCTTGTTCAAAAAATAAGTAAGTATGCCAATGTTTTTTTTTTTCACATTTCAAAAAACAGTGGCATATGAAAATATACCTGCAAAGAATGCCTTTGACTCTATCCTATGGTGGATGGAGATTAAAACAGCACATCATACATAGTCTAAAACCATAAGTTTTAGAATGCAGCATCATGTCACCAAAAAAAAAAAAAAAAATAGCTGATAAAACTTAAAGTATTTAGAAGATGCTGCCCTTTATTTTAAAAAATTTTAAATGAATTTAAGCAAAAATAACATACATTTGTACATCAACTGGCCATTTCTGGTACAGAAACCCAGCATATGGTAATATTATTGAATAAATGTAAATGCTACTTACAATTTTTTTCTTTTTAAATACATTTTAGACAAACTTTTTTTTCCTTTTTTTATAGTTGCACAATTAACCTCTGGCTGCTAGCTTGATGCAAACATATGTAACAATACACAAATTTAAAAATATTTTTTGTTCTACATAAAAGCTGTCAAAATTCTGACTCACATCAAAAATGCAAAATAATGGAATATACTTTTAAAAAATTAGTTGCAAGTCTAGCAGCAAAGCAATTAAGTGGGAACAAATTTACTATTAAAACAAAGGAACTGTGCATCTATAGACGAAGTCCAACTACCTTAATTCTATGGACACAAATTAAAACATTCTCCCTTGAGGAAAAAAAAGCGACTACTTAAAATAGGAGTAAAAGCCATTGCTGCCGGATGCGCTCCCCAGGCTCAGTTCCTGGAACAGAGACAGAGGGTCACTGCTCTTCTTGGCCTGTTCAGGAGGGGGCCTGGGCTTGGGCGGGGCCCGCAGGGCACTGGCATAGGACATGGCGGGCTTGCCCCCACCAGCGCTCTGGGGGCTGCTGCTGTTGGCCGACTCCACGATCTGCTTGTTGGGCATGAGGGGCGGGAACTGGCCGAGATGCTGCAGCACACTGTAGTTGAAGGAACCAGCCACCTCGAGGCTGTCCGACTTCAGCGGGTCCTCAGGGGGTTTGACCATCTTGGGTGGAGCTAGAAGCAAAGAACAGAACACTGACTTGAGTGCGAGCCCAGCGATGTGCACACATCTCACTCAGTGTGACCCAGCTGACTGTCCTCTCCGGGAACTTGGGGACAGCTGGCCACAAGGACACACTGCATATGCCACAGAACGTGGACATCACCCTACATCCAACTGAGCATCTCTATCAGTCAACGCATAAACCAATCACATCAACTGGAATGGCTGACATAAAAACTAACGCTCAAATCTGAAGCCTTGCTGAGAAGTAAAAAACTAGTTTGTGCAACGGCATGCTTCATTATTTATTACAGTAACTGCTCATCGTTTACCATTAAAAACGAGCTGTATATGCAGGTTTCTAGTTAAAATAACTTTTATCATTAACCTAAGTAACAGCACCACTGGATTCAAAGGGTTTAAAATGCTACCCTTGCCAGGTTCGGTGGCTCAGCCTGTAATCCTGCGCCTTTGGGAGGCTGAGGTGAGTGGATTGCCTGAGCCCGCGGGTTCGAGACCCGCCTGGGCAGCGAGACCTCATCTCTACAATAAATCAAAAAAAAAATCAGCCGGGCGTGGTAGCGTGTGCCTGTAATTCCGGCTACTCGGAAGGCTGAGGTGGAAGGCTCACCAGAGCCCAGTAGGCGAGGCTGCGGTGGCCGGGAGCGGCCACTGCACTCCAGTCTGGGCGACAGAGGTGAGACTCCAACTCAAAAAAAAAAATGCGACCCTTGCTTATAGCATATAATGAGTAACAAAGAGGGGGAAAAACGCAAACAACTTCACATTTCCTAAATCTGCCTGACTTTCAAGGTCCTTCACAAGTTGATTCTACCCTTCCTAACCAGTTTTATGGCTCACTAGACCATAGCTTGTTTTCAAACATTGCTTCTGTTTTCAATCTTTTAAAAAATTTAGACAGACACTTTATTGGATTATAACACAGTACATATTCATCGAAGTTAATCTGGAAATTATAGAAGAGTTCAAAGAAGAAAATAAGTCATTTATATTTCCAAATACCAGAGATAAGCCTTAAACTGCTGGTGTATTTTTCTTAAGGACTTCATTTAATACAGAATATTTCATAACTTAAGTAACCTCTCATGTTTAAAAGCTTTCATCATAGCCATTTTTTTCACTTTTATAGACTACGAAAAATGTTACAGATAAATATTTCCACATATTTATAACTGTTTCCTTAGGGTAAGTACCAAGGAGTATAATGGCTGGACCACATGGTATATACACAATTAAAGCTTTTGATAACTAGAGCCAAACCACCCTGCAAGGACTTACTGCCCATTTATACTCAGTCAATTCTGTCTGCCCATTTCCCTATCCAATCACAACATGATGTTATGACTGCACTTAAATCTTAGCCTATTGTACAGCTATCGCGTTGTAGTTGTAATGGGCATTTTCTTGATTACTGCTGTGTATGGACATTTCCTCCACATTTATTAGCCATTTCTGGACTGTCTTTGTTCACTATTCTACTGGACATTCCATTCTATTGCTTTTTCACATAAAGAATGCTACTCTCTGTCATATGTTGCAAATATTTTCACCTACTTTGTGATCTCCCTCTTAATGATTTTTCCACTTTGCCAACAAATGTTTTAGATTTTATTTACATAAATCCATGAAATAGTTCCTTTATAAAGTCAGATAAATATTCACAATATTCCCTCCTGGATCTATTAGGGTTTCCTGTTTTAAATGAAAATCCCTTAATCTGCTTGCAATGTGCTTTGGTATATGGCATAAAGTAAAGACAGGACTACTTATGTGTTTATTTTTCCTTTGGGTGGTTAGGCAATTGAACCAGTATCATATATTGAATGATCTATCCTTTCAATACTGCTTATACTTTTATTATATACTAAATTCTTTGGTACACCTACATCTGCATTTGGGTGCTCTATTGTTTCTGTTCCACTGAACAGTGTATCCAGCATTGTTTATGTCTTGTAGCTCCACTATGAATCCTGTTATCTGCTATTCAAAGTGCTCCTTCATTATTTTCTCCCTCTGCCTCTTTCCAGATAAATGAACTCTGGAGAGTCTCACCAGACCCTCTATGTAATTAAACAGGCTAGTGAATCTCGCTCATTCCTTCTTTCCTTTCTCACAAGTTGCTTCTCTTATCTGGAATCTGCCCATTTACCCACCCAAAATCTTAAAATTGTCACGTTAATTCAGTCCAACAAGTATTTATTAAGCACCCATTATGTAGTCAGTGTTGTGCTATGTGTGTGGAAAGTATGAAGTTGGTAAGAGTGGGCTGGGTGAGGTGGCTCAAGCCTGTAATCACAACCTCCCTGTGAGAGGCCAAGGCGAGAGGATTGCCTGAGCCCACGGGTTGGAGACCAGTCTGGGCAACAAGGTGAGACCTCACCTCCACAATAAATCAAAAAATTAGCCAGGCACAGTGGCGCACACCTGTAGTTCCAGCTACTTGGAAGGCTGAGGCAGAAGGATCGCCTCAGCCCAGCAGGTCAACGCTGGGGTGGCCGTGAGAGTGCCATACACTCCAGCCTGGGCAATGAAGTGAGACTCTAGTTCAAAAAAAAAAAAAGAGTAGCCCTTTATAAGCTTGTAGCTTTACAGTGGAGATAATACATAAACCCACCGCATGACTAAGTAACAATGGAAATGGCATAGTGAATGCTGATGGGAAGTGAGGGAGAACAGAGAAAATGAAGAAAATGAAACGTGGAAAGAGTCTTGAAGGACAAGACTTACATAGGTGAGGAAAGACTAGGAGGGCTTGGCAGAGACCAGTTTCCCTGTTTCCATTCTTTACGTCCTTCCTTTTAGCAATAGAAACCTCACCCACTCATCACACTAAGTTCAAACTGGACGCATGGCTACCCAGCTGGTGACATTTCTCAGCTTTCCTTGCAGCTGAGTATGGCCAAATGACTACATTTGACCTAATGAGACAGCAGTGAAAGTGATGCATGCAATTTCTGTATCATCGCCAGCTTGAAGACAAGTCACTCGCCCTGAAACACAGTCATAGCAGGGTCCCACCTTTGGCGATGCAAAGGAGGACAGTCTCTCAGAGGACAGTGAGACACAGCAGAAGCAACATGGGTCTCTCAAAGACCCTGTGAGGCAAAGCTACTCAGCAAGGAGCAGCCAGACAATTAGGAGAGAGAAAAATATTTCTACATTACTTAAGCCACTGTATTTTGGGGTCTCTTTGTGATGATGGCTTGCCTTTACCCTAACTGACACAGGTGGGAAAACAAAGGTAAAGACACCAAGACAAGCACCGAGACTTCTGTTTCTTCAGAAGTCTACTCTAACAAGGTAGAAGGCTGATGTTGGACATCAGAAGGAGAAGATAAGAGAGACGCGAGACAGTTCTCCTTGTGCAAAGCTGATCCTTAAGAGTTCACTGTCTACACCACACATCTACACCCACAGCTAGCACTTGATCTTATGTCATTTGTTATTGCTTTATGTGTGTTAATCTTATTTCTCAGATTAGACAGCCGTGAAGGAGAGGCCCATGCTCTCTTCTGCACTGAATCCTTGGGAGTCTGGCACTCTGCTTCTTGATGACCCTGTGATTAGTGGGCACATAGATGGTCTCTTCCTTCCTGTGTTCATGTCCTAAAGAAAGTGCTCCACTGGACCATACTTGATCCACACTGGGTCAGGTTCCTTGTGTGTGGCGTGGTGGGGGAGGCAGAGGGAGAGGGCGAGAAAGAAACTGAGATCTTTAGGTAGGTTATGGGGATTCAAGGTACTGTGACAGTCCACAGTCACTTAAAAAGACATGAAGGAGCAGAGCAATCAGAAGACTAATCTACAAGAAAAGCAGAAGGAGCAGGCACACAGAGGAAGCCATGGGCCATGGAGAGGGCACAGTGGTCACCACATCTAGCAGTTGAGCATTTTGCGCCATGCACCTTACATGGATCAGAAGACTTTCCAGCTCCCCTCATGAATGCAAATGGCCTCCCTGGACCTCATTTCCAGTAAAATTCTTTTTACTTGAGTTAGTTTAGGTGGGTTTCTGTTTCTTGCAACCTGACATAGCTTAGACTATCACCAAATAGAGAAAACTCAGATACAGTATTACGCTCTTTGACCCGCAGATATTTAGTGAGACTGCTTTATCACCAAGCTCAAAATAAGAAAAAAACAGAAATCATAAGAAACATGCTAATATTTCTTTTTAAATCCACACTACAATGGTTTACTTCCTCTAAAACACACTGGTGATGCTTGATGGAAGCGACTTCATACCTGATATGATGAAATTTAAAAAGCATTTTAACATTGGCAACATGGCTGCCCAAGATAACATTAAACTAGAATTTAGAAAATGGGTGAAAATATTTCATTTTTTACTCTTAGTATTTTATTTATTCAATGCGCTAATTTAACAGTATTATTTTAAAACTTTACAAATTCATAAAATTGTTCAATATAAAGGAGGCCTGAACTATCTAAAATAATACATAAAATGAAAATGGCTTTGACAGTTCAATAGTTTACTATTTTTATTTTTATGTAATCATGGTCTCGTTTTCTCAGCAATATAATTACAGTTTTAAATACTTTCAATTAAGTGATAAATACTTAGAAAATATTTCAGTGGCCCGTGTTCTTATCTAACAATAAGTGCAAGATCTTTATTAATCTGATTTATCACACATATTCCCAATAAGAGAAATCAGTCCTTAAAACTATGAATTTTAACTAATCTTACAATGTTATTTTTGAAAGTACAAATTTCCATCTAATCTTAAATTTTCATCCAATGCATTAAAAGAAAGTATCTGATGTCTTGTCACTATGATAAGTGAATAGAAACCAAGCTCCCCTGTGTTTGGGGACCCCACCCCCCCATAGTGCGACTGGATCACTCCTTACTCTGCAGGCATTTACTAAGAGCCTGAAATGTGTTCAGCGTCAAAATGAGAAATTAAAACGTTGAAAAGGTCAAATACATGGTCTCAGTTTTCAAGCTTACAACTCAGTCGTAGAGAAAACATACACATATCAAACATAATGATCTCTTAAATGTCAACCAATACAATACAGTTTTCTACAATCTCAAGAAATCTCAAATTTCAGCACTAAGTGTCTCATGAGGTTATTTTTTTCTGTCTGATATACCACTACTGTACATTTCCAGAGAAAACAATACTGAAAAGAAGTGCTTCAGAACATTACTGATTTCTGAATTAATTTTTTGGTGCTTAACTGTTACTGTCAACAAAAACACTACAATTAGTCTCTAAGCAATGAAGAAAATAATCATTTAATATTTGCAGAAAATACACCATAAATGACATGAACTTTAGGTATTTGTTCAGGGACTTTCTATCTTGTAAGTTCAAGTCAGTTTTTTATTGATTTTCACTAAAAGCTATCCTAAAACTTAGGTTTTTAAAAAATATATATATATAATATTGTCTTAAAAATAAATTATAATAAAACAACCACAAATAGTAAGTTATCATCACTGATTTGTAATTTAGACGTTGGTCAGGAAATTCAAATTTGGTAACATGGGTGTAGGTATACTAGACCTTAAAAATGACAAAGCAGGCCCAGAAACAAAAGCAAAATTTAAAAAATTTTTTTTGTCTTACAATGTCTACTATTCTAAAAATACACATGTATGTCAGATATTCAAAATGGGTCAGTTACAGAAAAAACAGGTTTGCATTCTAAAGATGAACAAACTTAATTTCCAATACAAAGGTTTATGTTACTAGACAGAAATTCACCACATAAAGATCTCAGATTTGTTCAGAAAGATCAATGTTTGTGGCTTACAAAGAGAAGGAATTAGAGAACTCACATAATATAATTAGTTTCTTAACATTCAGTATAAAAAAGAGAACAAAAGAAAGAGAAAAGTGCATCTATGTTTAAGGCTAAAGAGGAAGACTTAGACTCTCTGACACACAGTACAAGTTTAGAGCACCTTGTCCATTCTTATCCCTATCTCTTTTGCCTTCTTTAGTCATGGAGGTCTACAGTTTAGCAGAACTGAGGAATGCATTCAGGGCTTCTAAATCCTAAAATGTTAGACACTGATGGTCTCATGGTCAAATTATCATATAGCAAATTGTCAACACTTTATTGACTATAAATCCTTGAAAACTGATATTAACCTAGCCAACTCCCACTACCAACCCTGAAGAAAAGAACAAACAGAAAATAAACTTTTCCCAAGCAAAGGTGATTTTGCCTATTTAGAAATATGTTTTATCCTGGGATCTACAAGGAACTCCAACGTGCTGAAAAGAAAAAAACAAACAATCCCATTATAAAATGGGCAAAAGATATGAACAGACACTTCATAAAGGAAGACATTCGAGCAGCCAACAGACACATGAAGAAATGTTCAATTGCACTAATCATCAGGGAGATGCAAATCAAAACCACACTGAGATACCACCTAACCCCAGTCAGAATGGCAATCATCAACAACTCAAAAAATAACAGCTGCTGGAGAGGGTGTGGCAAAAAGGGAATACTTCTACACTGTTGGTGGGAGTGTAAACTAGTGCAACCTCTGTGGAAAGCAGTGTGGCGATTCCTAAAAGGCCTAAACATCAACCTCCCATATGACCCTGCAATCCCCCTACTGGGAATATACCCTGAAGAACTCAAATCACTCT